CTTACGTAATACTTGAATGCCCCTTGACTAAAACATTATTTTTGCCTTTTTCATAGGGAAAGAGGCAAATATGTCCAAAATGCTGCTTAATTCTTTCATGAAAGTGATCATGAATTGTTGAATTTGATATATTTAAACTCAATGAGATCTGATGTATTGTTATTAGCCAGTTTGCATCAACTAATAACTTTTTCGAGTCTTCATTAGCTTCAACCGTACTTCTTGGACGTGGTGCATCTTAGAATACCAGGAACAAAACTTAGCAAACCAGTTTTGGTATTGTCGTACTATCAACGTATCATTTATTAACATTTCATTTTGACTAAAACATTATTTTTGCCTTTTTCATAGCAAAAGAGAAATATGTCCAAAATGCTGCTTAATTCTTTCAAATCATATAAAAATTACAAGGCTCATGTTAAGTTAAAAAAATACATCTATATTAATTAAAAAAACGAAGTAACTTTCCGACAAACGCTATAATACAAATTCAATTCACAATTAGTCAAATAAAAAAAAATCTTGAGGGAAAGAAACGAGAAAGTGACATAACCTCAAACTACTCACCGGCATGTTTCCTTCATTTTCATTTATCTAATAACAGGGCAAGCTTACCCGACAATAGCACTTTTAAATCTATGTAAATTATATCTAAGTAAGTCTCATAAAAGTCATGTATTACTTTATTATTCATAATTATTATTATATCAGCACATGTTTTAAAAATGCAATGTTGGACGACCACAAACATATTTATGCACGAGTTAATATAATACGTACGTTCTTGAGGTTATATTAGAATAAAATTTAATATTTTAATACATATACTGTTTAAATAATTAAATACACAATAAGATATATCAAGATAAATATGCCATGAGGTACTTACAGAACATAACCAAAATGGTCGAGGGGAGGGCACTGCTAAATAAAATTCAGGAGACATTACATGTAATTTAGATTTAATCAACGACAATCATAATTCTTAATAAGTGTAATATCGTAAACTACAAAACCATTATTTTATTATATTGTCCATTAACCATATTATTGCATTGTCTAAGTTTCACGCCATGAGGCACATTTAAAGAATTACATACAATAAATAATAAAGGCGCCTTCACACTTGTTCACTGTACTGTATGCTTAAATAACACGCTACCAACGCCATCATATACAAACGTCAGTGCTGCCAACAATATCATAGAGCAAAATTGTACATAGGCCAGAAAAAAACTGAAGCCACCTAAGTGAAATACAGCCATGGCCGGTAATCTCGGAACAAACGTCTGTAACCCGAGTTTAGTTAGAGCCCCTGCCGCCGGTCGCGCTTGTTTTTTTTTTTTTTTTTTTTTTCACTTTGAAATAGAATTTGACATATGACAGATACTTAAATTAAACATGGCGTCCATTGTAATAAATTTTTCATGGAGAGATAACCTAGACAATATAATAAATGCTTGTTAGAGTAAAAAACAAATAAGCTGTCGAAGTGCATTGTTTAACGATGAAGAAATACCAAGAAAAATGCATGTATTATGTAGTTCCAGCGAGAAACGACGAAGTAAAAGTAAAATAAGTAATAATATTTGCCGGCTTTCAATCTAAGTGAGTACTTTTATTAATATGCATACTTCGAATTACTTTCATTTGATTGTACTATTCTGATATGATTTTTCATTACAGTTTAATAATTCAGAAATAATTGAGACATTTAACTATATCAATACTAGAAATTTTAAGGTTATAAATAGACAGAGAGAATTCCTGTCAGCTCTCTGAAAGGTATGTTATTAAATAACTAAATATAAATTAATCTTGTTCTAATAATGTAGGATCATAACTAATAATTCTACATCGATTTTTTCAGCAGTATAAAAGGAAAATACGTTCAAATGTAAAATGTTTAGACGGTTTACTAAACACATTCACAAGTGTACAAGTATTGATATGAGATGAATGAATACACAGGAAAAAACAATAAGAATGAAGTCTGAAATGTGCTGAAATCTTTGCTGATCTCCCACTAATATTGAACAGTACGACTCGTAATTATATATTAAGTCAGTTTGGAGAACATACTAAAAACACTAATGATATAATCGTAAGTGAAAGGAAATTCTCAATTAATGGTGAAATTCTAGCTAGTGCAAAGGTTAATTTAGGTTTGGCTATGTCACAGGAAAAGTTTTTAAGTATTAATAATTTCATTTTGATATTACAAGAAATATTATTATCTGTGTTGTTTAATGATGATAAAGGGAATCACATTGTATAGATTTTCAGGAACTGTCAAATGACAGGCAAAGTATAATCATGATTAATGATAAAATTCTAAAAAGCAAAGGGATAAAACACCCTTAATGTGCACTTGCTTATTGCATTTGACTATTCTGAAAGAGATGTCAATAGCTTTACTCTAAAATGTCTTATTGTAGATGCTATAAGAAAACTATTAAGTACTGTTATAATAATATCAATGATTGTTGTTTTTCTTTAAGACAATGATAATAATGACATTTTGAACAAACATTTGAATGCACATTAACAATAGCGCAGAAAAGATTCCCAAATAGAGACTGTACATCATAGATATTATGTAACTTAATGTTAATCAAAATAAATATATATGTAAATATATATATATATATATATATATATATATATATATATATATATATTGGTTATATATTGATCTGAATCAATATCAATCAAAGAATTGTGGTTATATATGTATATGTATATATATAAATAATATATACATTCATGTACATTTCTATTCTTTTTGTGCTCAGCTTGAAAGGCTGATATGCTAAAATGATATTACACACACATATATATATATATATATATATATATGTATATATATATATATATATATATATTTGTATATATATATATATATACATTGTGGATAGCGTGTACATTTAAGTACATTTTTATGCTTTTCGCACATAGTTTTTACAGCTTACTACCATCTATTATAATCATATATAATGTTATATATATATATATATATATATATATATATATATATATATATACATTGTGGATAATGTGTATATTTATGTACATTTTTATGCTATGTGTGCATTGTTTATAAAGAGAACTATGTAGATATAATGTAGAATGTTTTTGTGAAAAATAAATGCTTCAAAAATTTTTTTTTTTTCAATTTTTCTTTTTTTAAATTTTGAATTAAAACGGTCCATATAATTTTGGTTCATTTCTATAGTATTTTTTATACGCACCCGTTCAGGCGACTAGTGCCATCTGTAGCGCGGGGCTTCAACTAACACAGGAATGTGGCAACGAAATATGGCCCGAGAGAGCGATCTATATACTCTTCTTTTATCTATGAATACAGCTTTATTTTTAACTTCCCGAAGGAGAAGTTTATGTTTTCATCAAAAAATCCGATTCGCTAATTTTATGTTTTCTCGACGTTTCAAGCCATTCTGAATCGAATGAGACCAAATTTGGAAAAAGTATGTGTGTATGTGTGAACAGATTTTTTGCCGTAAAACGCGTTTTCTCTATAACGGCTGGACCGATTTCAAAAATTTAAAAGCCATTCGATGTATCTCGATGAGGACTATCGTTCCTGAGTGCGGCGATCGGCTGAGCTGTTTCTTTGTAAATTGCAGAAAAGTGAAAAATTTTTCGTTTTAGCCCGCAATTCTGAATCGATTCTGAAAATTCAAAAACCATTCCATAGATATTGGTTGGGAATCGTGCTGATTAGTTTTTGGTAAAGATCGGCCGGGCCGTTTTCTTGTAATAAAGTTTTTTAAAAAAAAATTTCGACGAATTTTTATGATTTTTTTTTGACGGTAGATACCATAGTTTATTAGGTAATACTAAAATATTACGGCCCTACGACAACTCGTTTAGCTTCGTCAAAGCAAATTCGTCAAAGTTTGCAAAAATTGGTATCGTTTTTTTGACATTTGTCAAAATTAGACCTTTGATCGACGTTTTCTCAAAAACGCCTGAACCGATTTCAGAAATTTAAAAGCCATTTGATGTATTTCGGTGACGACTATCTTTTGTCAGTTTTGTTCGACGATCTGCCAAGCCGTTTCTTTGTAATTTGAAAAAAAGTGGTAAACTTTTCGCCCACATTTAAGCTCATCCTACCGAACCGATTTTAAAAAATCAAAAACTGTTCGAAAGATATTAGTTGGGAATGGGAATGATACTGATTAGTTTTAGGTGAAAATCTACCGAGCCGTTTTCTTGTAATTAACTGTTGAAAAAAAAATTAAGCCGATTTTTATGGATTTTTTTTTAGTGATATATACCATGGTCTTATAGAACTTACTGAAATATTACGGCCTTACGACAAATAGTTTGATTTTAAAAATTCATTAAAGTTTGAGAAAATGAGTAGTTCTTTTGACATTTGTTAAAATTAAAATTAGACTATTTACTTTGTATAATGATAGAGTACTTGGTCTTGAACATAATAAACCATTAAAGTCCTGGAAATTGGTTCAATTATAAAAATTATTGATTTTTGAAAATTTGCTTTTAGAAAATACTCCGAGTCAAAGTGTTTGTTCGTTTTCAATTATGTGTAATAAATCCACTCGGAATAAGTCAATTATTTAAACATATCGGGAAGTTTATGTAACTTGCCTCAAGGCTAAATACCAAACCAACTAGTTTATCATTTAATGATGGTAACTAGTGGTGTATGGTATCGTGCCCCAAGGAAATATTAAAAATGATGTATTCATGTATAGAATACGATCATATAGACGTTTCTCTCCTCTGATTTTTACGTTCAGAAGGAATACTCAAAGGGTCCTCCGTTCGACGTGATGGCGCTGCTTTTGGCATTAAAATTAATGGCGCAAAATTTGAAATAAAAATTAATGAATTTTAGTAATTGCGTATTTGAAACTAAATTTGGTATTATAATCTTATTATGTTTTGTATTAATAATAATAACAAAAATATACTAGATAATATTATATTATAATAAATCAGAAAGCCTATTTTGGAGTTGATTTTGATCGCTGTGTTGCGATATGTTTCTGTATGTTTGCGTCTTGAGTTCTTCGAAAGCTTGGTAGTACAGCAGAAAATTCAGCAAAAGCTCTTGCAAATGCTTTACTCTGTTTATCTTGTACTGCTGTATCTTTTATATTAAAAATTTCATTCCTAAGAAAATCTAACCCGGATATGATTGAAGACCATGAATCTGTTGCAAATACAACATTGTTTCGCTGTTCTATTATATCTGTTGTATTATTATCAAAACAGCTTCTTAATTTGTTTGATTTTTCAAGCATTTCCGTTTCCAAAATGCTATTATCGAACCCCGTATTAGTAGGATCTAGGGATAAATTTCCTTTGTATGCACTATCCCGAATATTATTGAGGTTTTTGTCCTCTGAAACTCCTGTTATTATTTCATCTGTAAAAGACATAATTACAATAATTATTAAAAGAAATATGAATCAAATTTCATAATCATGCTGAAAAACTAGAAACTTACCCTTGATATTTTCTTTTGAGTGTTTATCTAATGAAATAGATTTGTTGATCTGCTTTGTATGTCCTATATGGGTTTTCCAAAACCGCACTTTAACTGCATGATTACCATCAACAGTGCAAGCGATCCTTGAAGGGCATGCATATCCAGTTTTGATAGTATTTTTAGTAGAAGTGCGTATTGTGTTTTGCTGCTCATAAGTATATGACCTGTGACAGTTATAATATTTTGTCTTGCAGTTCTTTGATGTGGTATATCCCGAATTTCCTTGAATGTAATGTGAATTCTCCTTCTGTTCGACATCCGATTTCCATAGTACAAAATCTGCAAAAAAGCAACATATGTAAATAATTGTATGATTACAGACATAAATTATGAGAAAAAATGATTTCTTACCATTTAATGTTTGAAACACAACTTCTTCATAATCAATTATGGTATTGTGGTGAGACTCAAAATGATTGTAAAAATTATTATATCTGGAGAAAACCAAATAGCATTCAGGAAATGGACATATAATCCTTTTATTTCTTGAGGGTGTACCTATAAGAAAAATATCTAAGTAACACTGTAAAGAATAAAAGTAATGTATTACTACTACATACCTGTAAAATTTTCCTTCAAACTGAGTGGACAATTGGGAATAGGAGATGGATGAAAAGTAACTTGCCTGGATGAATTGGAGGGTTGTGGCAATAAAGCCATATGAGGACGTGTCCCAAGAGGAGCTGAGGTAGATGGATCAGAATTAATATTTACCTTTGAACTGAGTGGAGATTTGGGAATAGAAGATGGATGACAAGTAACTTGCGTGGATGAATTGGATGGTGAACCAGAGGATTTCGGAGAAAACAAGTGTGTTGAGTGTTGAATTAATGACACAGCTGAGGTAGTAGATGAAGGTAAGGACTTGGAACGAACTAAGGACAATGTAGAAGAAGTTGGTGGGATATTGGCGTGCACTTGGGTGATATGTCGTGTTAACGAACGTTTATTCTTAAAAGTTTTTTCACACAAGGAACAGGCATTAGGATAAACAAGTCTGGGATTCTCTCCATGTTTCCGCCTCATGTGACGAAACAATGATGCACGGTGTGCGAATGAAACCTGGCACTCTTGGCAGAAAATATTGCTATTCATGTTTCAAGTTAAGTAAGAAATTGAAAATGAATGATAATGAAAATGAGTTCCTTAATTGGATTGTTTGTTAAGAAAAAAAAGTAATGAAACCTAAACCTATTTATAATTATCCATAGAAGGTAAGCCTAACTAGAATAATCCATAAAACGTAAGCCTAACTATAATTATCCATAAAACGTAAGCGTAACTAGAATTATCCATAAAACGTAACCGTAACTAAAATAATAAAATGTAATTCCATGTATAAAATGTAAGCCTAACAAAAATAATAAAATGTAATCCTATGATTAAAACGTAAGCCTAACAAAAAAAATAATAAAATGTTACCCTATGCGTAAAACGTAAGCCTAAATTATTGTTTAAAACACAATTATAATTAAAACATTCTTTAAAATCTAAGCTAGACTAAAATGAATTTTGAATGAAACACACAAATCTCTGCGAACATGACATTTCTCTGTCATACCAACTTCGTATGTTGCTCCCTAGACAATGGGTCTGTTAATAAAACAAGTCTAACAACATTGAAAGACAAAAAACCTATGTGCCGCCATTCGCAACAAAACTGTCAAACGTCAAACGTCAAAATAGTATGCATATATAGGGTGCGTTCGACTTCGACGCTTACGTGCTGTGAGCGCTCACGCTTATAAGCACGAATTTTTAGCGTTCGACTTGGCCGATAAGCGCTCAGAATCGATAACTAAATTCCGTTCGTTTTGGATACTGTGAGCGTCAATAACCATCAAAATGGCGGTAACGGTAATTGTGTAAATTTTAGTACTTTCTGGATCATTCAGCGGGATTATAAAGAATTTAACAATTAATAAATAAATGAAATTTGGTTTGCTTATGCTTAATTCACATTAATATTAAAATTAAAATTTAAAATTATTTAAAATTAATTAATTTAATATTAATATTAATACTAAAAAATAAATGTGATATACAACTTGGCATTTTTGCGGGATTATAAAGAATTTAATAATTAATAAATAAATAAAATTTGGTTAGCTTATGCTTAATTAATAGTAATATTAAATTTAAAATTATTTAAAATTAATTAAATTTAAAATTAATCAATATTAATATTATTATTAAAAAATAATTGTGATATACAGCTTGCCATTTTTGCGCGATTATAAAGAATTTGACAATTAATAAATGAATGAAATGACAGATAGTAAAAACAACTGACGCTCACGCTCACGCTGCCCTACCTCTGTGGCGTGAGCACGTATGAGCGCAAAATATGTGCTACGAGCATCCCACCATGGTGCTACGAGCGTACTTATGTGACACTCACAGCGCCAAGTCGAACGATGAAAGCGCGCTCATGGCGTGCTCACAGCGCGTAAGCGTCCAAGTCGAACGCACCCCAAGTCGAACACACCCATAGTATATATATGTTTACTTATGTTATAGATAGATAGATAGATAGATACTTTATTCAAATTCAACATTTACAATTTAAGTCAATACAATTATACTATAATATAACTAAACTAATATCAGTTATGTTTATGAACAACTCTAAGATTAACCTAATGACAATTAATATTTATCTTGGATTAAAAAATTCATTAATTGAATAGATAGGTTGATCTATAAGATGTTTTTTAACGGCAGCATTGAAACCATTCATGCTTTGACTCTTCCACTCATTGGGGAGCCTGTTGTAGATCTCGACACCCAGCTTGTTCCTTTGCGAGGATTTCAGCTTCAGTTTTGGAGGTACAACAGCATACCTGTTCCGCGTGTTGTGGCCATGGACGTCCAGTACATGATTTGTTCTGTCTGCATGGACCGCAATCGCCTGTTGGTAGATGTAGAGGCTGGTAACAGTCAGTATTCTAAATTTAGTAAACAAGGGTCTGCAGTGCTCCCGAGGTGAGGCTTCTCCGATTACAGCCCTTACAGCCTTCTTCTGTAAATCCATTATCTTGGAGGTATGCGCCGAGTGTCCCTATGCCAATATTCCATATGAGAACACAGACTGAAACATGGCAAAGTAAGCCTCTCTGGCGCATTCCTCATTTATAATGTGCCTAACTCTTTTGATGGCATATATTGATTTTGAGAGCTCAGTACATATTGAATATAAGTGCTTCGCCCAGGTTAGCAGGCTGTCCATAGTGAGACCCAAATATTTAACTTCCTCTCCATGCAGCTCCTTATGTCTCCTACTGGAAGTAAAGTTAATATGGACAGTTTTCCTATTGTTTAGTACAATTTTGTTGGCTGAAAACCAGTTTTCAACTTGCTTGTAGGCTTATTGAATTTTTTCATTCATATTTGCGATGTTCTCGTCCGCAACCGCCAATGCCGTGTCGTCTGCAAATTGCGTTGTGTGGCAGCTAATGTTCGGTGGTAGATCATTCACAAATATAATAAAAAGAAGTGGTCCAAGAATACTCCCTTGGGCAACCCCTGCATTTAATCTTGCTATCTCACTTCGTTTATTCTTCCATTCCACAAACTGATACCTGTTACATGGGTATGATTGCTTCAGTTTAAGGGCTACGCCTCTAAATCCATAATATTCCAGTTTCCTGAGAAATATGTCATGTGGAACACAATCGAATGCTTTGCTGAGTTCGCAAAATAGTGCCCCACAGTGTTTATGATCTTCCAGTGAATTTGATATAAAGTTCAAAAAGTCTAGCACAGCATCAATTGTGTTAATTTTCTTTTTGAATCCAAATTGAATTTTTACAAAATAATTACCCATTATTATATTGTCTAGGAGTATACCCATGGATAAATAAGCAACTAGTTGGTTTGGTATTTAGCCTTGAGGCAAGTTACATGAACTTCCCGATATGTGTAAATAATCGACTTAATCAGTAAAAAATAAATTAATTTATGAGTGATTATAAGTATTCTGAGTGGATTTATTACACATCATTGCAAACGAACGAACGAACACGTTAACTCGGAATATTTTCTAAAAGCAAATTTTCAAAAATCAATAATTTTAATTAATCAATAATTATAATTGAACCAGTTTCCATAGGACTTTAATGGTTTACCATGTTCAAGACCAAGTACACTATCGTTATACCGACTAAATCATCTAATTTTATTTTTAACAAACGTCAAAAAAACTACTCATTTTCTCAAACTTTAAATTTTTAAAATTAAACTACTTGTCGTAAGGCCGTAATAATTCAGTAAGTTCTTATAGACCATGATATATATCGCCAAAAAAAGTTCCATAAAAATCGGCTTAATTTTTTTTTCAACAGTTAATTACAAGAATCAGTATCATTCCCAACTAATATCTTTCGTACAGTTTTTGATTTTTTAAAATCGGTTCGGTAGTATGAGCTTAAATCTGGACGAAAGGTTTAACACTTTTTTCCAAATTACAAAGAAACGGCTCGGCCGATCGTCGCACAAAACTGAGAGACGATAATCCTCATCGAGATACATCAAATGCTTTTTAAATATCTGAAATCGGTTCAGGCGTTTTTGAGCAAACGTCGATGAAAGTTCTAATTTTGACAAATGCCAAAAAGACCAAACTAATTTTTGCAAACTTTGCCAAATTTTTAAAGCTAAACCAGTTGTCGTAGGGCCGTCATATTTTAGTATTATCTAGAAGACTATGGTATCTACCGTCAAAAAAATAATCATAAAAATCGTCGAATTTTTTTTTTTTAAACTTTATTACAAGAAAACGGCCCGGCCGATCTCTACCAAAAACTAATCAGCACGATTCCCAACCAATATCTTTCGAACGGTTTTTGAATTTTCAAAATCGATTTAGAATTGCGGGCTAAAACGTAGACGAAAAATTTTTCACTTTTCTGCGATTTATAAAGAAACGGCTTGGCCGATCGTCGCACAAAATTGACAAACAATAGTCCTCATCGAGATACATCGAGTGGCTTTTAAATTTTTGAAATCGGTCCAGCCGTTTTCGAGAAAACGTCGATTTACGGCAAAAAATCTGTTCACATACACGCACACACACACACATACTTTTTCCAAATTTGGTCTCTTTCGATTCAGAATGGCTTGAAACGTCGAGAAAACATAAAATTAGCAATTCGGATTTTTTTATGAAAACATAAACTTCTCCTTCGGGGTGTTAATAAGGGCTGCAATATCATTTGGGTCTTTATCATCAATTAAAAATGTTTTAATGGGGCCTTATTGATACTCCGTTAACGCTGTCAAACAAGCAGTCCATGAACTTCAAAAATTCACTAGTGGCATAGGTAGTTGCCGAAGCATCTACCCTGGTAAAATATGAATTTTGAAGTCCATTGGCTACACGCTTTGAGAACACTTGTGCCGCTAATGACACCTTTATGACTTTCCAATATTTTTGATAAATATGTTGAGCGGTTAAAGTGGGACAACATCGATATATGATTAACTTAGAGTCATACTCATAAAAACTCAGAATATCACTCCAAGCAGCTTCGAGTTGTACCCCCTTTGTGCTGGTAAATTTAACATTACATTTTGCAAAGTTATTTCTCAAACACTTCAACATATGAGGAGGATCAAACAAAGGAACTATTGGATGCCCGTTCATTTCGAATTCTAATCTATTATTATCATTACTTCTACCATAACGTTTATTAGTCTCATTTATAAGCATGCTAACAGCTTTGCGATTTGCGGGGTATTGATCGCAAACTGTTGCCACAATGTTTAAATCAATACTAAGTAATTTTTCACTACTTCTTCAATGCAGCATTTCAAATTGAAAGCATTCACACCACCATCAAAAAAATAAAAAGCAACTGGCCATGTCCACTGTTCTTTAAACCCTTAATCATAAACACCAGTGCCTAGACAATATAATAATGCACCAGTGCGTGGTCTGCAAATGCTTCAATTTTACCATTAGCAAGCTCTTCAAAAACTTACAATATAATCTTTTGTGCAGTCATATGTTAGGAGAGTTGAAAGTAAAATTTCGTCAAACATAACAATGCAATATTTAACTTCCCGAAGGAGAAGTTTATGTTTTCATCAAAAAATCCGATTCGCTAATTTTATGTTTTCTCGACGTTTCGAGCCATTCTGAATCGAATGAGATCAAATTTGGAAAAAGTATGTGTGTGTGTGTGTGTGTGTGCATCAACAGATTTTTTGCCGTAAATCGCCGTTTTCTCAAAAACGGCTGGACCGATTTCAAAAATTTAAAAGGCATTCGATGTATCTCGATGAGGACTATTGTTTGCCAGTTTTGTGCGACGATCGGCCAAACCGTTTCTTCGTAAATAGCAGAGAAGTGAAAAGTCGTTCGTCCACGTTTTAGCCCGCAGTTCTGAATCGATTTTGAAAATTCAAAAACCGTTCGAAAGATATTGGTTGGGAATCGTGCTGATTAGTTTTTGGTAGAGATCGGCCGGGCCGTTTTCTTGTAATATAGTTTAAAAAAAAAAAATTTCGACGATTTTTATGATTATTTTTTTGACGATAGATACCATAGTCTTCTAGATCATACTAAAATATTACGGCCCTACGACGACTGGTTCAGCTTTAAAAATTCGTCAAAGTTTGCTAAAATCAGTATGGTCTTTTTGGCATTTGTCAAAATTAGACTTTTGATCGACGTTTTCTCAAAAACGCCTGAACCGATTTTAGAAATTTAAAAGCCATTTGATGTATTTCGGTGAGGACTATCGTTTGTCAGTTTTGTGCAACGATCTGCCAAGCCGTTTCTTTGTAATTTGAAAAAAAGTGTTAAACTTTTCGTCCACATTTAAGCTCATACTACCGAACCGATTTTAAAAAATCAAAAACTGTTCGAAAGATATTAGTTGAGAATGATACTGATTAATTTTAGGTGAAAATCTACCGAGCCGTTTTCTTGTAATTAACTGTTGAAAAAAAGTGTTAAATTTTCGTCGACATTTAAGCTCATCCTACCGAACCGATTTTAAAAAATCAAAAACTGTTCGAAAGATATTAGTTGGGAATGATACTGATTACTTTTAGGTGAAAATCTACCGAGCCGTTTTCTTGTAATTAACTGTTGAAAAAAAAATTTAAGCCGATTTTCATGGAACTTATTTTGGCGATATACATCATGATCTTATAGAACTTACTGTAATATTACGGCCTTACAACAAGTAGTTTAATTTTTAAAATTCGTCAAAGTTTGCTAAAATTATTATCGTTTTTTTTAAAAGTAGGTTTGATGAAGTATATTATTTACACATTTTTTTGATTAAGTCGATTATTTACACATATCGGGAAGTTCATGTAACTTGCCTCAAGGCTAAATACCAAACCAACTAGTTTATCTTTATCGTCACTCAGATAAGATAATGATGATTGCAATGTTTTAAAAATGCTTTCGGTAATGCCACTATGCATTGGAACTTTTGTAATGTTATTGAATTTTTGAAAATTTTGAAAAGTTTGAATATTAAAAAACATTGCCTTTTTTGAAAATACTTATAGTTTTGAAAACTTAGAAACTTTTTGAAAACTTAGACATTTTTTGAAAACTAAAATTATTGTTTTTGAAATTTTCAAAAATTGAAGGGATGATGACGCAATCGCGATATACCTGCCAGCAAAGTACTTCCTTGATGAACCAATAATAAAATATCATGCAAACAATTTCTAGCTTTGTAAAAACAGGTTAGTCGAATAGAGTTAACCTAATTAGAGTTGGGCTATAGTGAACTTCTACTACAAGAACAACAAATTTCTGAAGTACTCTTTATATAAAAAATGATATAAAATACATGAGACTCAAGAAGAGATCAAAAGTTAATTAATGTTTGAAGCAGATTTTATAATTATAGAATTATAATATTATATTACATAAATTATATTATATTAAATAAATGTTTACATTTACTTTATTGAATTGAATTGAATTACATATTATATGCATAGAATCGGAGTTGTTACTGAATTAATATACCATAAATTACAATTAACAGCGATACTATATATATTGAGCAAACAAAAAAGATTATGAGGTCGGATAGTTTCACAAGTGTATTTATAGAGAACTTTAGCTTGATTCAATCTAAATCTGAAGTGTGGATCTTTCCATGATTTTTTAAAGTGCTTTGATATTTGAATGTTTTATCACATGTTTTACATTTATGAGGTCGATCATCACTGTGCTTTATAGAATGAATTTTCAAATTTCTTGAATCTGAAAATCTTTTATTGCATACTTTACATTCATAATTGCGTTCCCCGGTGTGTAAAACAAAATGAACTTTCAAATGAGCTGATTGAATAAACGTCTTATTGCATATTTTGCATACATGACGACGTTCTCCGGTATGGATGATTTTATGCCGGTATAATGCTGGTTGATATTTGAATGTTTTATCGCATGTTTCACATTTATAAGGTCGATCTTCACTGTGTCTTGCAGAATGCTTTCTTAAAGTAGAAAAATCTGAAAATCCTTTATTGCATATTTCACATTTGTACGGGCGTACTCCAGTGTGAATAATTTCATGTCGGGCTAATATGTGTTTTGTTGTGAACGTTTTATTGCACATTTGACATTCATGAGGGCGTTTTTCAGCATGAATAATTTCATGGTTATTTAAGGCGGCTTTTCTAGCAAATGTTTTATTGCATACTTGGCAATTGAAAGGCCGTTCTCTAGTATGAATAATTTCATGTCCATCAAATCCAAGTTTTGATCTAAATGTTTTATTGCATATTTCACAACTGTAAGGGCGTTCTTGAGTATGCACTGATAAATGCCGATTCAAACCAAATGACCGTTTAAATCCTTTATTACATATTTCACATTTATGGATTGTTTTATGTTTACTTGAAACATTTTCAAATGATTTGCTCGTATTATTCGTACTGATTTCTTGATTACATATGTAATGTTTTTGAACTGAGCTTATTTCATGTGTGCTGGTAGCCGAATCTTGGTACTCAATCTCTTCTTCTTTATTTCTTCCTCGATTGTTACCTCAGATTTCAAAAATCGCTGTAGAAATATTTTGTTTTGTGGCATATCTTCATTATCATTAAATTCTCGTTTCATTTGAGGATATTCAGTTGGTTCAATTATAATGGTTGAGTTTGAGTTTGTTTCATTAGATATTAAATTAATTGACTTACCAAGATCTTTGTTATGCAGGTAAGGTTCTTCATCTAATATTATTTTACCTGTACTGATAGTTGCATCTTGTTCATCAACTGTTTCTTGATCCATTGTTACCTTAGATATTAAAAAACGCTGTAGACATATTTCATCGTGTTCTGGCAAGATGAATCCTTCATTATCATCAAATTCTTGCTTCACTTGAGGATATTGAATTGGTTCAATTTTAATAGTTGAGTTTGAATTAGTTTCATCAGACATATTCAGGCAATTGTTGGTTGCCATTTTACCTTTTCCTGGTTCTTCTTCCAATGATTTGTTCATAATTGGCTTAGTAATATCTTCGTTACGTACATAAGGTTCTTCATCTAACATAATGAAGACTGGATATGGCTCATCAATTGTTTTTTCATCAATTGTTACTTCAGATTTTAAAAAACGCTGTAGTAATATTTCATTGGTTTCTGGACAAATATTATCGTATTCATCCAATTCTGTTTCATAAGGCATTTTCAGGCAATTGTTGGTTGTTGTTTTACATTTTCCTGGATATGTTTTTTTCATATTATCCATTAAATTAATTGACTTGCTAATATCTTCATTAGATTCTTTGGGTAATGCATATTGTTTATCAACTGTTGCTTGCTTTATTTCTTCATCAATTGTTCCCTGAGATTTTAAAAATTGCTGCAGATACATTTCATCATTTTCCAACAGACTTTTTGAATCATCGAATTTTTGTTTCACTTGAAAATAAGAATCAAATTCAATTTTAATAGTTGTGTTAGAATTTATTTCTTTAGACATTTTGAACTTTTACAAACAAATTTATTTAATTTATGTAAAACAAATTAATGGCTTAGAATTAAAATTGTTATTTTCACGTAGGGTAAGTGATAGTAATCGTTCAAATATCGAAAATGAGAATTTTTCATAGACATTATATTACATGGGCTGCTAGTCGAGCGCAAAATAAGTGGTCAAACCATAAACATTACACTATAGTCCAGTCATAGGGTCGTTTTAGTACTCGAGGAATTGTGAAAATTGGTAATCTTATAGATTTTGATTTACAATATAAGTTTATGTATATTTTGTATTGTATTTGTGTTGTAGATTATTGTATTTTTGCAATAATAAGTTTTTAGTTTAACAAACTTATAAGAATTTTTTGATATTCAGTATGTACTGTTAGTTCAACAAAATAAAAGATTTAAATAAATTATAGAAAGTTTTCTCTAGTTTAGCTTCGTATATAGCTATTTTGCCATTGAAGTGTTCAATCATCTGTTTATAGACCTTGTTCGCTTAATTTAACATTGAAAATGTGTATTTATTAGAGAGAATGTGGTTAAGTTCAGAGAGCAGTCGAATATAGAGAGATTCGATATGGCGCGAGAGCAGCAAAGACTTTGGGGCGCTCATACTCAAACTATTCATTTAACAAAAACAACGGTCATAGAAAGAATTGTAGGAAATGTTGTCTAATTTAATTGTGCATAGCTACTTTTATCGTACAATGAGCCGAAAAGGAGATAATTTAAAAAAAAACTAGTAGGGTGGGTGGCATCGTGCCTTAAGGCAAATTGCTGGAACTTCCCGTACCGTAACAAAATGTTCGAGGAATATTGAATGTTTTCAAATAGATTATTATAAATATTGTAACATTGTCTAATATTTATAAGAATTATATAAACTGAATTGCAGAGTTGAAATTATTTGTTTAAAGTATATTAGAACTATAGTCAGAATTAAAAATAAAATCTGAATTATTTTCGATATACACAGAATTTAAAAAAAAAAAAAAAAAAATTAAACAATTTTTTTTTCCAAAATCAATTATTTTGTTAAGACAAGCAGAAAGTTCTTTGAATCAATTGAATCGGACGCTTAGTTCTCTCAAAAACTGCCATTTTTTGTACATTTAGCTCTGTATCTCCGAAATGGATGGGCCTGCCTTTGCGAAAACTAATAACCCCTTCTCCCAATCATTACTAATTGAATGTTTTTTAGATCATTCAAATCGGATGCTCCGTTCTCTCAAAAACTCGATTTCTATTTTCTACACTCTTTGCTCCTTATATCCGTAACTGCTGGACCTGTCTTTGCCAAAAACTAATCAGCACATCTCCTTATCAATAGGAATCGAATGTTTTTTAAATCATTCAAATCGGTTGAACCGTACGCCCGAAAACGTGGGCGAAAATTTGTATCCATACATACATGCACACACATACACACACATCCATTTTTCTGAAGTATGCCAAAATATTCAGAAACCTTCAAAACGTCGAGAAATGTAAAATTTTCAATTCCGATTTCGGCCTATTACAATAACTTACCCTACGGGAAATTAAAAAAACTGCTTTTTTTATGCTATTTTCCAATAGACTGTATAATAATATGATGGCAGCGACTTGCCGTGAAAATTTGAGGTGGCAACGTTAAAATTCGTAAAGAACACCTCAAAATCTAAAAGATCACAAATTTTCAGAATTCCCCGAGTATTATACCGGCAACAGCCTTTTTTGCACCAAATGACTGGACTACTTATTTATCTATGACTTGCTACCATAACCATAAATAAATACAGGGTCTATTATCTCAGAACAAAATCCGCGTATAGACATTATATAGTATACATTAGTCTCACCATATTAAACTTTAAAGAAAGAGGCCGGTTGTAGGAAACTATGTAAGAAATCAAGTATAAGCTTCTACAAGAAAGACAAAATATTCAGAATACGCTCAGCTTTTCAAAATTAGATTGCCACTTGACACGGATCTGATTATACTTGGAAGAAAAAAATTGCTTAAGAATGTCAAATTGGTTAAAAAGAGTTAAGTGTGACAGACAATGTAATGAACTAACACTATAATTCACTAAATTTCATTAAATATTATATTAATGAATTTAAAAAAAGTATAAAAATTATTCCTGTTGATTAGTGTAATGTATTTTTAAATCAGCAATGTGTTTGTTGATTTATATTTCGATTTGATTATCTTGTATATTTTTGTTATAATTGTATTATTACAAAACATAATGCAACTGTAATACCAAATTTAGTTTCAAATACCCAATCACTAAAACTCATTCATTTTCATTTCAAATTTTGCGCCATTAATTTGAATGCCAAAAACAGCGCTTTCACTGAGTGGAGGACCCTTAAAGTGTCCCTTCTGAACGTAAAATCGAGAAAGAGAAACGTCTATATGATAATAAATAAGCATAATGGTATTAAAGTATTTAAAGTTATAATTACTTGGCTTTGTCCTCGGTGTGCAGATTGTTCTCCTTTTGCATCAAAACATTCTCTAGCGACCTGAGAACAATTCTGTAACTGCAGTGAAGGAGACACTTCTAATTGGTAATCTTCCATAAAGTTTGAAGAAACTTAAAAGCAAGCATATTATTATATAAATTATTAGAAAAAATATAGAACACTTGATTTAAAGATGCAACTACATCATTTAAAATAAATATCTAATCAACTTGTATTTAATTACCCAAGGGTGTATTATTATTTGTTGACAAACGGTATGCCCTGTCTTTATATTCTTATCACGAATCGACACACAAGTTCTAAAATAATATAAGGTTTTAAAATCTATCGAATACATATATGAATCTTATCATTATCCTTACGGAATGTAGCTCTATCCATAAGACAATTCTTCTCTAAGTATGGGTCTCCAGTGAATCCTATAAATACCAAGCAAAATATGAATTCAGCATTTCCATTAAAAACAATTCATTCGATCACATATTATAATTCAGACCTGGCATATTTAGAGTAGGTAGGGCATTAACTTTTAGATTTGTCTTGCATTTGTTGTCAAATATTCGAGTTTGCAAATATTTGTGAAGTGCGCGTCACAAATATGTCGATTTTGCCACAAACCGAAGGGGTTACCTCATCCAATAGAGGATTATTCGCCCTCTTCACCCAAATTGAAAAAATCTAGAACATTTTCATAGTATTTTCATCATACATATTCATTATGTGAACATAACATTCGATCACATATTATAATTCAGACCTGGCATATTTAGAGTAGGTAGGGCATTAACTTTTAGATTTGTCTTTGCATCGAGTTTGCAAATATTTGTGAAGTGCGCGTCACAAATATGTCGATTTTGCCACAAACCGAAGGGGTTACCTCATCCAATAGAGGATTATTCGCCCTCTTCACCCAATTGAAAACATCTAGAACATTTTCATAGTATTTTCATCATACATATTCATTATGTGAACATAATACATCATTATATATACATACTTGATCATTAGATGCTGGAAAGACATGCATCTTTTTATTAGTTGTGGAGTTACCACAATTTGGTACCCTACACTTCACCATTTTAACTTTAATAATAATTTAAAAAAAGAAAAAGAATCACCAAAACACGTATAACAGCAATGTATAACAGAACTACAAGAAGCGATGACAACTAGATAAAAAATGGCGATCAAATGTAGTAGCGTCATCCTTCGATCAATTCGAATACTAATCCATTTTAAAATTTATTAAGGTGCGTCCACACCTAGCGAACGAGCACGAACGAACATGGATTTTGACATGCGCGTGGGTTGCCTTTGTTAGAAATTTTTAATCTGCGCATTATATTCATCACACGTGACTACAGACAGTAGCGATGACGTTTGTGAACTCGCTCATTATGCGGCAGCCATTAAAATTTTTAAGAACGTAGGTGTACCAACAAAGATGAACATAAATTTAAACAGTAAGATGTAAAAATTATGCAGCGGTTAAAATATTCATTATTTTCATTATTGAAATGTGTTGATATATATATATATATATATATATATATATACAATTATATATAATAATCTAATATTCTTGAGTTCTAATTATGAATTGTTTAATTTTATTTATATAATAAAACTTTCGAGTTATTTTGGACAGTGTTTTTTCACAGAAGAAAATCTATTTTCATAAAAACATTAGTAATGATATTTAGAATTTATTTTCTATCACTGCTAATATAAGGACATAACTTGAATAATTTTTTTTTATTGTAGTTCTCTTATTTTGCGATAAGTATCATCCCTTAATTGTTAATTAACCAATAATTAATTTTTATATGCATATAACTTATATTTTTTCTTCCTTATCATAGCTGATTTTAATATAAAATATGTTAACATATTTAATTATAATTATATACAAAGTTAATTATAATTATATACAAAGTTAATTATAATTATAAACTTTATTATCGGATATTTAGCGATAAATATAATTTTAATTAAACACTTCAATTAATTTTAATATTATTTACTCATGCAATTATAATTATGAAATTAAAATAATAAAAAAAATAATAATATGAGCGGGAATCGAACCTCCAACAACAGACGCAAAAATTAGAATTCTATCACCTTACCACTCGGCTACGACTCAAGTGATAAGAAAGTACGTTGCAAGCTATCTATAGTGTCTATACCCATGATTCATAAAATTTCAAAATGTTCGACAGACTTGAATATTTACACACCTAACTTCACAGCGTTTTTACACACAAATACATGCGCAGCCGCATAATGAGCGCCTGTCATCGCTACTGTCTGTTGATACTTCTAATATTCATCATGTTCGTTCGTTAGGTGTGGACGCACCTTTACCGGCCATGACATAGACTGCTAGTCCTCATATGTTTTCCGTTGTACATAGTACTCAAACATAGAAGGGACTGTGACGTCACATGTCTGAGCGAACAATGCCGACGACAATCGCGGACTCTCCCGATTGATCAAACATGTTACGTGCCTAACATAGGCCTTATAATATATAAACCGATTCTAACAGGTAAATTTGATTTTATGTACATTTATTTCACAAGGAAAATATTATAAATATGATTTCTTACAAAATTATCAGCCATCACAATTACCATCTTATCTTATATATAAAAATGGATTGCAAAATGTGTTGGCAAGCGCATAACTCAACAACGCCTGGACCAATTTGGCCAATTCTTTTTTTTAAAATGTTCGTTGATGTCCAAGGATGGTTTTTACTGCGAGAAAAAATGGAATAATTGCCGGGGAAACCATAAAAACAGTCCTTTTCTTTTTCTCATACAAACGTTTTCTATCTAAGACGTAGAATCAATTTGAGCTTTATTACTATTAAAGTACATATTGAATTACAAGCACTCACGGTATACTCCTTTTAAACGATTATTCGGATTTTGATAAATCTTTCTGAAGTATGTTAAGGAAATTTTCTGGAATGTATGTGATTATAAAGTACTGGGATGTATGTACAATATTGTAGAAATAAATGGAAAAAATGCAAAAAACGACATGTCATTGTTTGCATTGAACACATATGAAAACTATCATCTGCCAAAAATTTCAATTTACTTATGAACCTAGACAATATTAGAATATGTATAATAAATTTATGATTATGAATGAGAAAAACTACATTATATTGCCAAAAAGCGGCTGAGATGTGCCAGAAATTAAAATAATATAAAATACAGTATATGTATGACATATGAACAGGATATGACAAAATAATTAATGATGCATGCAAAAAATACGAGCGCACGCCTTAGGGGCGCCAACACAAGTTTCGGATATTAAATTTTCAATATAGTTTTTTTTAATATATAATTTCTTTGCATCTTTTACTAACCTTTCACAATATTTTTAAAATTCGTAAAAATTTCACTTTATAACAAACAAATGGGAAAGTAAACATGAATACATACAATTCAGCCCTCACGATATCGATTAGGAGAAGTTTAAGGTGCAATTTTGAATATCTTAAATAATAAAAAATTAAATTAATATGATCCAACATGAAGTACCAGTGACATGTTATGGTTATGGTTATGTTACACCGTTTAAAAGACTTCAATTTCCAATATAGTGTGGGAATTGAGACTCATCATTTTATTCTACATTTAACATCGCTCATATTATAAATATATATATATTCATTTTGGAGTGAAGAGTAATTTAAAAAACAATAATTATTATTTTTAGGTAAACGCGTTTAATATTAGTATATTATATTAAAAATTGTATACATGGGTACAGGACAATGTCTGTCGGGTCATCTAGTTAAATCAATAAAATTAAACATATGACATATGACATTTAATCAATCGGGAAATTCCGCGATTGTCGGCAACGTTCGCTCAGCAAGTGACGTCACAGTCCTTTTTATGTTTGAGCACATATTTTGTGCTCGATTAGCAGTCTATGTAGCATAAGGTCTATGGAATTTTTGCATATCTTTACGCTTGAAGTCCTCCTGAACGCCATAGGAAAAATGTATATATATATGTATTATGTGTGAATACAATTTTTCGTCGACATTTTTCAGTTGAGCTTTAAGTCTAAAGAGTCGTCGTTGGTTGGTTGGTTTTCTTTAACGGTGTACCATTATTATTTGAAAGACAATCTAACCTGTCGGTTTAGATTCATTTTGACTTCTTCCTCTTTTACCACCTCCTATTATTGTAAACTAATGTTTTTCAATTATTTGCTAATTATTTATTAACATCCCGTAGGGTAAGTTATAGTAATTGTCCAACAATTAAAAATTAAAAATTTTGCATATCTTTACGTTTCAGAGGTTTCTGAACATTTACCTTAAAAAATGGATGTGTGTATACAATTTTCATATAATATTTTTTTATTGTAAATTATTGGTTTCATATTATATTTTTCTAGAGTATAAAATCTAACAAAGAAGCTCCGCTCCATCGATTTGAATGATCTGATTCTTACTGAATGGGGGGTCCAGGCGTTTGGAGATGAAAAGCAAATGGAGCAGAAAATGACAGATTATGAGAGTACGAGTAAAAACATTTTATTTCTACTGACATAATTATTATTTTTTTAAGGCAGGTCCAGCGGTTTCTACATTGCAGTCAAAAAATAGACAAATAGGCAACTAGAAATATAGACTGGTAGACGAGGTCAAAGATAAACAGATTGAAAAGTAGCCAGGTAGACAGGTGGATAAGTAGACAAGAAGACACGTAAGCAAATAGACATATAGGGAGGCGTGGGGAATCAAGCAGGCATTTATAACGATTTCCTACACTGGTGACCTACGACGTTTGTGATGAAGACAGAGAAGGATCATGAATCTGAAATTTTAAAAAATGTAGACTTTGATGCAGCACCATAATCACTGGTCTTCCATGACTACTTATAAGGTACGTCCAGTCCTCGGGTCAGTGCGAGTTAACTCATTTACTCTACTGACACCGGACTTCTGTTGGTATACCCATTTTGTATACCCAGACCTCAGTGTTTATTGCTGACACGAAAATTGATTCTGAGCATAGACTTTGGGTCAAGAAATGTCATATTTTCACCAAATAAAAAAGATAATTTTCAAACTATGTGAGATAATTTATTATTCTTATTTTTTTCATGATAGTTACTATCAATACTATCACAAAAAAGATTAGGAATATATGGTCCTAAAATATTATAGACCTGAGAAGTTTCGCACGGAACAACTCCACGCGCAATATATTTTATAATAAAACTTAGAACTTAAATAAAATTTAATTTACAAAACTTACAAACAATGTACCCTTAACTTAATTTCTATTTATCAGATTTCGATGTGTCGTTGGGAAAGCCCCAAACTTTCAATGTTCCTGCATCTCGTTTTCTGTCGTACGTACTCGACATGTCTTTGTCGTCGCAGGCGTATGCTAATAAATATTGTTTCGGATGCCAGGCAACAGTAAACGTGGCCGCGTCCACGGAGATGTCCGCTATCTTTTCACCTGGAAAAGGATAAATCAATTGTAAATATATTTAAAAATTATATAAGGTAAAGGCAAATGAAGGAAAAACAAATCTAATCTTGTTTTTGTTTTGGAACTTGTCGTAGGGTAAGTTATAGTAATCGCCCAAAAATCGAAAATATTTTTTTTGCATAGCTATACGTTTCAAAGGTTTCTGAACATTTTAGCATACCTGAAAAAATTGATGTGTGTATGTATGTGTGGTTACAATTTTTCGTCCATGTTTTCAGGAACACGGATCAACCGATTTGAAGACTTCAAAAAACATTCGATTGTTATTGAAGGGGAAGCGTGCTGATTAGCTTTTAGCAAATTTCGGAGATAAGCAACAAAAAGTGCAAAAAAAAAGAAATTTAGTTTTTGCGATAACGGTGTATCCGATTAAGTGATTCAAAAAATATTCGATTCGTATTTATGGGAAAACGTGCAATTTAGGTTTTGCTAATGCAGTTCCAGCCGTTTCGGAGTTACGGAGCAAAAAGTGCAAGATAATAGCAGCTATTAAGAGAAAGGAACATCTAATTGAAAAACATTTTGCTTGTGTTGACAGTGTAAAGAAACGATTAGTTTTTGAAGAAAGCCAAAAAAAAATATTTATTTCAAAATTTCAAAATGTTTTTTTTTTAATTATCATATCTCTAAAATTCTTCGGATTTCAATTTTAATTCAGACTAAAAATATTTAAAATTTTACGAATATTTCATTACGGTACGGAAAGTTCGAGCAATTTGCCATAAGGCACGATGCCATGCACCACTAGTTTTTCAAATTATGCTTCTGAAATTACGGCGTACCTTAGAAAAAATTAATGTATGTGTGTGTGTTTGTGTGTGCGGATACAATTTTCGTCGACGATTTCTGGAACACGGCTCGACCGATTTGAGTACTTCAAAAAATATTCGATTGGTATTGATAGGGAGACGTACACAAAAAATATTGTTCTCTCAATGTAGTGCGATCGGCTTATGGAAACAAACTAACTGACTTTAATGATTCATGTGTAACACACATGTGTTCAAATAATAATTTTGAAAAAGACAAAACTTTTAGTAATTTTGATTTACATAATTTAACTATTCGGCGGAAAAATAACTCACAAATTCATTTTTTGTTTAAAAATCTTGTTTAGTGAAAAAGTGCTAACGTATATTCAAACATACAGGTAATTAATTCAATTTTGTCATTAACCTTTTCTTAAAAATTTTCCATAACTTTTAAAAAATTTCTATCATTTTTAATATCCTGTTCTGATAATCAACTCATTTATTTTTATCATTTTCATTTTGATCATATTATCATATTTCTGTACATTATTATTTTTTGCAATTAATTTATTATTTAAGAAAAATCTATTTTCGTTTCCTAAACATATTGTTTGCTTAAATCTCATCAAGATCATGTTTCTTGACAGATGTCCTGAAGATGGAACGTACCTAGTTCCGAAACGTCGACAGTAAATAAATAAATAAATAAAGAAATTGTTTATTAAAAACTTTTCTTGTTTTTTTATTACTTTTGGATTCTTGTTCGAAACTCTACAAAATATACACAAATCCAAGATTCTACCATTCAATATATATATATATATATATATATATATATATATATATATAATATCACCTGTTTCTGTATGTCCAATATCTATCAACAAATCCTCCGAAGCAGAAGCCAACAACTGTCCATCATGGCTAAACGATATCGTCCTCACTGGCCACTCCAATCTGGAAAACATCCTAACACATGCCAAATGTTCTGCATCCCACAAAGAAACTAAGGCATCTGCTGATCCTGTTGCAAAATATCTTCCAGTTGGATCGAATTCGATGCAAATGCAAGTTGCTGGATGTGCTTTTAATACATGCAGTAATTCCAGCTTCGGATAACTCATTACATGAATGCACCCTTGGCCATTGGTGAGGAAGAATAAATTGCTGCTGTTGTTCCATGAGATTTCATTGACCTGGGTAAAGGAAAGAAGTGGTGTTATTATATTTATTAGATAAATGGAAATCTATTATTTTTGCAATAGTTGGTTTCAACTATCTGCATCTTGGGTTATATAAGTCGAATCAGGTTCTACGAGGCGGCGTTAGAAAGATGAGATTTCGTACTAAAAAAATTATTAGACAGTTTTGAAATTGACTGGATCAATTTTGTTTGAATGCGCGTCAAAAATGTACACTACCAAAGAGAAAATACACTATATTTTACAGTTTTTGTTGGCTGCTGAAAATCTGAATAGTTGTTATGGTCCTGATACTGTAGCGGCTAATTACAACCAACTTTGGTTTCGTCGATTCATTCGGATAATTTCGATGTCAAAGACGTACGCGCACTGGATGACCAATTGTCGAAAATGTCGACAAAATCAAGGAGCCCAACGGGCATGTAAGTCGATTTCAATTGCCCAAGAGCTAAAGACTGTACAAAAGACATCATTTGAATAAGACCAGATACAAAAAAAGCTCGATGCACGGGTGCCACACGAAAACCTATTATACCAAATTTTCATCTGCAAATCGCTGCTGAATCGCAAGAAAATTGCTTCATTTTTGGTAACTGGTAATGGAAAGTGGATCTTTTGCGACAACGTCTTGATCCAATTGCGATGAGTATGAAGAAATAGTAGCCAAGCCAAAATTGGATGGCCAATTGTCGAAAATGTCGACATAATCAAAGAGTCCAACCTTCATATAAGTCGATTTCGAATGCCCCAAACCTAAAGATTTCACAAAAAATCAATTGGCACCATTTAAATAAGGCTGGATACAAAAAAAACTAGATGAATGGGTGCCCCACGAAAACCTACTGGATCGAATTTTCATCTGCAAATCGCTGATGAATCGCAAGAAAATTGCTTCATTTTTGGTGACTGGTGATGGAAAGTAGATCTCTTGCGACGACGTCTTGATCCAATTGTGATGAGTATGAAGAAATAGTAGCCAAGCCAAAATTGGTGACCAATTGTCGAAAATGTATACAAAAACAAGAAGTCCAACCTTCATATAAGTCGATTTCGAATGCCCAAGACCTAAAGATTTCACAAAAAATCAATTGGCACCATTTAAATAAGGCTGGATACAAAAAAACTATATGAATGGGTGCCACACGAAAAAATTATAGGACCGAATTTCCATCTGCCTGCTGAATCGCAAGAAAATTGCTTCATTTTTAAAGCGATTAGTGATTGGTGATGAAAAGTGGATCTCTTGCGCCAACTTAAAGCAGAAACTGTCTTGATCGAATTGCGATGAGTATGAAGAAATAGTAGCCAAGTCAAAGTTGGATGACCAATTGTCGAAAATGTCGACAAAATCAAGGAGTCCAACCGTCATATAAGTCGATTTCGAATGCCCAAGACCTGAAGATTTCACATAAAATCAATTAGCACCATTTAAATAAGGCTGGGTACATAAAAACTATATAAATGGGTGCACCCACAAAAACCTACTGAATCGAATTTTTATCTGCAAATCGCTGCTGAATCGCAGGAAAATTGCTTCACTTTTGGTGACTGGTTATGGAAAGTGGATCTCTTGCGACAACCTAAAGAGACAACTGTCTTGATCCAATTGCGATGAGTATGAAAAAATAGCAAACAAGCAAAAATTGGATGACCAATTGTCGAAAATGTCGACAAAATCAAGGAGTCCAACCTTCATATAAGTCGATTTCGAATGCCCAAGACCTGGCCAGGATAACGTGTGGCAACACATATCGATAGTAATTAGTCAGAAGCTCCAAAAACCTCCCTTATTGGGAGGTTTTGATGCATCTATTTTTTAGTTCGGACTTGGAACCAAGCGATTACCATCTATTCCTGTCTATGGTGAACAGTTTTGCTGGTGAAAAATTCTCTTCAAGTGAAGCTTATAAAAATCGACTTTCTCAATTTTTTGCCAATAAGGTCGAGGGTTTCTATGAAAGGAGAGGATAATAATATTAACTTCAAAATGGCAACAATTTATCGAACAAAACGGCGCAAAATTGACCTAAATTGGATCATCCTAACTATCCCAGTAAACACGCGATGTGATCTTCTATAATATCGACATCGTTATTATAATGCGGTTATCGAATCTACGCCACAAGAGGATTTTAAACTTGCGTGCGCTTGTGTGTGTTACAATACACGCAAAGCTCGCATTGAGTTGTCTCACGAGACATAAACACGCGCTGTCGGGGGTAATGACATCGTTGAATTTCATGTGAGATACATGTCGTGCGCTGGTGTGTGTTAGCACACATGCAAAGCATAATCAATGACGTCACACGGCGTGAAGCAAACGCGTCGTGCGCTGCGTTGTGTGCGTTGTGTGCTGGTGTGTGTGACCATACAAAGAAAGCTTTACATCAGCGCGCCGTGGCCACTGGTGGAACCGACTGTTTCTTTGACGAAAGCTAAACTAACCGCTTACAAAATGGCGCAATATGTCACGAATTTATCATGCATCAAGTTATATTTTCTTTAGTATAATAATTACATTCGTTTAGTTAAGCAACTTGTTTATGATAATTGTAGAAAAGTGTAGAAAAATGACACCGTAAGTATATCATATATTATTTATATAGATATGTAATTACTTCACGATTTTGAATTCCATTTAGTGCATTATATCCTGGGATGAAGAAACGTTATTTTATGTCGATTTCTTTAGATGACAAAGGAGGTAACCAAATAGCATATCTTACAAAATCTGAGGACAATAATAAGGATCGTTTATCAAGGTTAAAATAATTATTTTACTAAATTAAGACATTAACATATCCATGTGTTCGACATAACCTCACTTCTTAAATCTCTTAAATTAGTCGGTTGAGAAGCGGATCGAGAATGATTGTTTGAATATGTAAGTCACTACAAATATAATAGCTATACAAATATATATAAACAGCAAACACGTATGCCATGTTCATATTTATTTCAGAAGTCGTACAAAATTGGAATGAAACGATGAACAATATACAGATCTTTAGACAGGCTCAAATAATGTATGTTTAGGAGCAACTTGAAGATAATGGAGATTTATCTTCTTAATATGTAAGTTGATTCATATATAGTTGCTGTATATATATATTATTTGGTAACAAATACATTATATTTATAATTGTTTTAGAAAACCTCTAAAATTGGGAACAGTATGTCATATATGCATGAACTTGATTGATGTATTGATGTGTAATGAACTGAAGATATAATGAATTCAATCAGGTTAAAAAAAATGTATGTGCAAAAGCGACTCGAAGACGATTTAGATTTGTCTCCTGAATATGTAAGTTGCTACACATATGGAGTGGTATATATATTATTAGATTCAATAAAACACATTATGTTTCAAATTGTTTTAGAAAACTTCCAAGAAGTACATCATATATGAATATCCTGTATCCTCGCATTTGATGTAATGAACTGGCGATAGAATGAAATCAGTCAGTGTTAAAAATGTATGTGTAAAAGCGACTTTAAGATGATGGAGATTTGTACACTGAACATGTAGGTAGCTACACATATGGTAGCTGTATATATATATTATATTATATACAGTAAATCACATTATGTTTGAATTTGTTTTAGAAAACTTCCAAAATTTGGGGCAGTATGTCATATGTGCATAATCTGTATCCTGGCATTTGATGCAATGAACTGGCGATAGAATGAAATAATGAAAAATAGGCAGGCTGTTTGATGTATAAGGAAGTGGCGATAGAATACTTATGCAACACTTCACACTTCACGCCCCAAAAATAGAATTACGTTCATTAGATATACAACAATTTTCATTAAATATACTGTTATTAATATGTTAAGATTGAATAATTTGTAAAAAGTTTTCTAGTATAGTTCATGTTAAAATTTTATAATTTCAAAACTACAATTCTAATTTGTAATATTTAAATATTGTAAAATTTCTTATTATTCACGTAAATAAATGCTTATTCGTACAGAAAAGAATATTAATTGCATTACGTCATCACTTTCAGGTGCTATTACGTCATGAGTCGCCATTTTGTATGACGTCATGACCGAATCGTTTTCATTCGCCAATGACGTCATGACTGGGGTGAACGCCTTACGTCAGACGGTCTTATCATAATAAACAAACATATGTGGGTCAACGTCGATTTTCATGTATTACGAACGCCACGTGCGCCAGAGACCGAACCTCGATAGTTGTTCGATAGTTACATAAATTTGCGGCCGTATCCATTAAATATCGAGGACAATGAATATGGGAACCGCATGTCACACGACCTAAATAAAATATTGCCACGATGTTGTGGCCATATCGCATGTTTACTGGGTAGTAATTAAAGCCTTAAATTCATGCAAGGGAGCGTCCATTAATCACGTGATTGATTTTTTATGGATATTTGGACCCTTCTCCCCCTTGGTGATACATGGTAATATTAAAAATTACCCCCATCCCCCCTAAACATCTAAAAACCTCACGTGATTAATAGACGCCAAAAAAATAGATTTCCCTTTACGTCATCTAATATGAATATTTTTTTGTATTGAAGAATTTACTAGGGAGTAACTTATTCAATTCCAAGTTTTTGATAATCTGATATCAAGCAACAATGATATCCGTTTTCACTTAAAAATAAATTTTGAATGAAAACAGCACTAACTGCATTAAGTTAATAAAATATTATCAATATTAAAAAAAATCTATTAACTAGATGCAAGTGGCATTTTGCCTTGTAAGCTGAATGAACTGTAAAAACAATTAACAAGAATTGAAATTTAGATATTTAGATAAAATTTTCAACTTCTTTTTTAGTCTAGAAGGAGAAGTTTATGCTTTTATAAACAAATATTCAATTTGCTAATTTTATGATTTCTCTATGTTTCAAGTCATTCTGAATCGTTTGACAACAAAATTGAATAAACCTTTGACATTTTGTTCTTAACTTTTTGAAAACTTTGAACTTTTTCAAAGCAATCGCGCTGCGTTAGTTACGTAGAGACAAAATACCGAAGCGCGTAAGCGCCGTGTCGCAGTCTAACGGATAAACATTGGCACGGAACTCATAGAAATGCAAACAAGATTTGTACTTATTATTAAAATCTCTATAAAATATATGATAATTTGATGGGCATATGTCTAATGATCCTTTTTAACCGCCAAATAGCATTTTTTTTTACTTTTTGTGTTGGATCTCCAAAACCGCTAGACCTGCCATCCAATTGCTTTAAGCAGTTCTTTATTTTGTCAATCCAAGTAAAATATTTTTCAAATCATTCAAATCGGACGCTCCGTTCTCTCAAAAACTAAAATACCATTTTTGGCTCTTTTTGTCCCGTATCTAGATCAGCACGTCTCCTTATCAGTAGAAATCGAATATTTTTTGAATTATTCAAATTCATCTATCGATTTGACGAAAATTTGTAGTCGCGCACACACCCACATACACATACATCCATTTTTTATAAGGTATGCCAAAATTTTCAGAAACTTCTGAAACGTTAAGATAAACAAAAATTTTTATTTTCGACTTTTTTTGCTTTTAATTTAACTTACTCTACGGGAGGTTAATATTTGCTGTTATAATATAATAGTATAATATCATACAAACGCACCTAATTTTGCCGGTGTCGAACGATTCAGAATGACTATAGAAGTAGCAAATCAGATTTTTTTGTCAAAAACAAACTTCTCATGTAGGAAGTTATAAAACACAAACTTATCTATTAACTTATTATACTGTTCAAAAACTTATATTACAATTGCAATGTAACAATAAAATGTCCTATTACTATTTTTACCTCAAAGTTATATTGTTCTTCCGCAAGTATTTTATGTGTTTTGGTATCGATAAAAGTAACTAAATCTTCTTTATTACCAACAGCTATTGTATTTCCATCAGGTGACCATGTTATATTTATATTTTCACCTTTTGTATTTATTGTCGCTGCACATTTTGCTACCCTGGAAAAAATGACATATTTAATAAAATAATTGTATTTTCACGAAAGCATCCAAATTGATAATTAACTTCACATTTTGAAGGTTTCTGAACCTCAGAAAAAATGGATGTGTATGTGTATGTGTAAATACAAATTTTCGACGATGATTTCGGGAACGGTTCAACCAATTTAAGAATGATTAAAAAAAAGAGTGCGCGTAAGGATCACACGCGATTGAAGTATAACTTATTAGTACTTATTAAGTAAATAACAATTTTAAGTTAAGTGAAAATAAATACATGATATAACAATTTTGAATAATGTTTATTATTAATGTGGTAACACCCGTGATGCACACATTTATTAGTGTCAACCATTATACACATTTATATAATGATAAATTATAAATTATATATTCATATTAGCAATAAAAATATGTATAATATTTAAAAACAATAATGTAATTAAAGTCATACTTCAAATATGATATGATCGGTTTGTCATTGTAATTAGCATTTAGAAATGAACCTTCATTAGAGAAATGAGTAATTGCTGATTAAAAAATTCTATAATATTTGTTCACACAGTGGATTATGTTAAACAACGCTGAAACAAATATTGTTTTCGCAACTTCACTCATCATGTAATTGTGTTTGAAGAACTTCATGTAATTAAAATTAACATACGATGGTATTTCTTTTACTTTTTCACTGGCGATATAATCTCATTCTTTGAACAGCTGTAATATCTGTTTTGCCTAAAAATTATTTTCCATTTCAATAACTTCAAAGATTTATAGAAGCTACGAATAATATATAAATTATTTCAATAAACTTACGTTTAGTACACGGCACAAATGTTTTATTTGTTTTATTATTTTCATTATAATTATTTACGAGGAAGAGGGTAAAACATTCTTCTGATTCAGGCATTTTTGTTTAAATCAAGATTTATACTATTATGTAACCTTAAAATGTTTATTTATCTATGCTGATTTCTTTGTCGATATCCGTACGGATATAACGATACAGATCTCTATTCACTTACGCGACGACTAATCACAATCGACCCGTATAGAAATGATATCATCGAGAGCGAATGACGAATTATTGGCACTCGACTCTGCCGTAACGCACTTCCGTTGCATTTGTACGGATCTACGCTCTAGTCGCGCCTAAAGAAGTTTTACTTCAAAAAACAGTCGACTCCCATTGATAAAGAGACGTGCTAATTAGTTTTTGGCAAATGCAGGTCCAGTCGTTACGGGGATATGGAGCAAAGAGTGCAAAAAATAGAAATTGATTTTTTGAGAGAACTATTCAAATGATCTAAAAAGCATTCAATTCGTAATGATGGGGAAAAGTGGCGATTAGTTTGTGGCAAAGACAGGTCTAGCTTTCAGAGATAAGTGGTTTAAAGTATAAAAAATTGCAGTTTTTGAGAGAACAAAGCATCCAATTCGAACGATTCGAAAATATATTTTGCTTGTGAAGAAACAATTAGTTTTTGAAGAAAACAATTTTTTTTTATTTCAAAATTTTTAATTTCCAAATTTTTATTAGATATCGAAAATGATCTGGATTTTAGTTTTAATTCTAGCTAAAATTCTAAAGTTCACTTATAAACTTAGAAATAAATTTATATAATTCATAGAAATATGAGATAAGGTACTTTAATTCTAACTCCGCTAGATTAGGTTTCGTTTATTTAGTTTTCATTCTGACATAGAAACGTCGTCGTGCAATTTATAAGCGTTTATATTTTGTATATGAAAAACCAATAATGAAAGTTACAGTATTTATAATAATCTATTTGAAAACATTTATATACCTCGAATTTCATTACAATATGTGAAGTACCAGCAATTTGCCTTAAGGCACAATGCCATGCACAACTAGTTTTAATTTGTTTTCTTCATTTCCCAAAAATATAACCAGTTTTTTACTATACAAGTAAAATGTTGTACTGTTGTTGTAAATACAAGTAAAATCGGATGCTCCCTTCTCTCAAAAACTGCAATAACATGCACTTCTTGCTCCATATCTACAGAACAGCTGAGCATGTATTGGGTAAAAACTAATCAGCAAGTCAAAAATGTGAAACGACTAGTAATACTTTGTATTTTGTAAACGTTATTAACAATATAAGTATATTGATTATCTTTTTATTATCAAAAAATTATCACCTCGCATCCCAAATTCTAACGGATTTATCACCACTTGCAGTACTCAATAAATCGGGTTGACTTGCATGCCAACATAGTTGATCCACTGAACCAGTGTGCCCCCGGAAAAGATGCTCCTTTGTCTAAAATAATAAAAACTATGGTAAAACAATTTATAATAATAATTATTACTTGTATAATTTTATAAATACTCTTATAAGGCCGATTATAATATTTAATATTACAAAATTATTTGAATGAAATGAATTAAAATTTGACTTCTATTATATTGAATAAAATAAATCAGATCAAATTGTCGTGCAAGGACTATTCTAAGAGATTCAAATATTGTGACAACAGATATAAAATAATATATTATAAATGGCAGTCATTGCAACCCCAAGAATGGGGACTTTAACCCTTTCTCGTCACAATATGATTATCTTAATTGTATATTATTATTGTTAGCAAGATGTAATGATATTTGTAGAACAAGATCTTTTTTATTTAATTTTGGAGTTTCTCATCATCTCTGAAACATCAAACTTCAGAAAGACTATAAAATAAGGTTTAATAGACCAGAATGAATGTTTAATAGATCGGAAATGTTCAGTGTACCAATCCTAAAAAATATCCATAGTTATTTCAGTTAGTCGAAGGTAAAGTATTAATCAGTGTAATAATACAGCTGTGAATGAAAAGTTTAGCATCTAACCGTTATTATATATGATTTTTTATTAGACTCCCAAATTACAGGAGAAGTTAATTTGGATATGCCTATCATCGCTCTTGAATTTTTGGAGTGGCAAATTAGTAGTGAATTTTACTGAATTCTTTGTATGTGTAAGAGAAAGAAAAGAATATAAAAGACAGATGTGCCAATTAAAAAAGATCTACTGAAGTTTTAGTTTCACTATAATAAAAAGAAGAATTCTGCTCTATCATAGCAAAATCATCAAAACATTACTGTTGTAAGCAAGACCGTAAATATTTGCGGAAGAAAAGAATATAAAAGACAGATGGGCCAATTAAAAAAGGGCTACCAAAGATAAATTTCAGTTAATAGTTGGTCAGATCAAAATATACTCTGATGGTTTAACAATTCCAATGCGCCTAGTATCGTTTTCCATTTCTTAGAATATTGCAGCCTCTGGCTTATATCCTCCACGCAAGAGCTCTTTTTTATACCTAAATACTTTCTGCACACTGTTGATAGTAATAATTTTAAATAGTCTCTAGATGCAGCGGAACAGTTAACATATACATTTAAACACCGCTGTACTTGTAATTGTTTGAAGCTAATATAGATTGGTATATAATAACACAGTGATTTTGTTTAGTAACAATTAAATTTGGCACAGCTATCATCAGATACTATTTATTTTCTTACAGTCCGCTTCAATATTTATTTCTGATGGTAGCCAGCCCAACCAATAATAGTGCTCTATTATTGAGTTATGTGATTACACAATAACGTTTAACAGACCAGAATAAAAACGTTCAGTAAAACACTCCTAAAAATTATTTATAGCAATTCAAGCTTTTCCATTATACTCCCAAATTACAATTTGTTTTGGAAATGCCTTACATTGCTCTTGGATTTTTGAAGTAGTAAATTAGTAGTGATTAGAGTGTTCTTTTTGGAGCTTTTACGTTTCCATATTTTCCTATGATATCACCCATTCCATTATTTTCTCTACGATATCATCCACATTTTGATAATTCATAGGGCTAAAAGAAAAGTGTGCTAAAAAAAGTAGCATTAAGTGAGTTATCGCTGTATTTAATCAAACAAATTGGTGTGCAAGAATAAGAATTCTGCATTATAATAGCAAAATCATTTGGACATTACTGTTGTAAGCAAGATCATGAATATTTCAGAAAAAAAGATATAAAAGAGTAAATGACAACCAGATCATCACAATTATCAGTTAATAGTAGTGTTCTATTTTTGAGTTTTTTAGTTTCACAATAACATTTAACAGATCAGAACAAAGAAGTTCAGTAAAACAATCCTGAACAAAAAATATTCGTAGTCATTCCATTATGCTCCCAAATCTTAAGGGGGTATTCTAGTGTAGAAATTCAAAAAAAACGTTTTTTTTTAATTTCATATTTTCAAAGTTTAACTATCTAAGAATGTAAGTACGAGAAGGTTTCTGAAAATTTGAATTATTTTTGGAGATATAGGCATTTTACTGACTCTGTCTCCATACTAGTTTGGCTTCATGCAAAACTTTGAATACGTTTTTCTCAGAACAACCTTTTTCAGTACTCTTGTCACGATTTCTGGAGTTCTACTCGACCAATTTATTTGATATTTTCAGATAGTCTTGTTTATAGATCTATCTATAGTCTGAGCTAGGATCATCCCGAAATTTCTATTTTTACTATTTTTAAAAAATTCGAGAAACTCAAAAAAACAGTAAAAAAACTTTTGTTTTTCAAACAGTTGCCAATTTGTGAAAAAATTTTTTTTTACTCATTAGTTCAGACGATTGCGACATCATTGTAGATTAATAATCTTTTTATTTTTTGCATTTTCGGTGGCTAGGAGGGCTGAAATCATGTCAAGACTGCGATCAGTTGCCAGTTTTTACAATTTTTAACTTTTTTTATTTTTTAATATTTGTTTTGTATCTAAATAATATTAATAAACAAATGGTAAAAAAATGGATAGTAAAAACATTCATTGCTTTCTTTTACGACACTTTAAAAATGACCTAAAATTCATCACTCTACACTAGAATACCCCCTTAAGATTTCGAAAAGCCTTAAGGTTTTAATAAGAAATCTATATGTGCATTTCCACATAATAGAATAGTAGTTGTGCAATCTTCTGAAACTTTCAAGTTTGATTTGCAAATTCCATTATTTCCTCTACGATATTACCATTTTGGTAAATCATGAGGCTAAAAGAAAAATGTGTTAAAGGAAGTTCGAGTAAATCGTTATCGCTGTCTTTTTAACTTGATGTGCAAGAATAAGAATTCTACATTATCTTAGCAAAAACATTTGGATATTACAGTTGTTAGCAAGATTTGATATTAGTAAAACACAAGATAATAAAAGACATTTGTGTCAACTAAAAATTGGCTACTTTAGGGTAAATGACAACCAGATTTTGGATTTGTTCACAGATACATCACTTACACAGATTGTGGTAACATGTCTGCAATATGCCTAAAAACTAGTCTACATCTATTTATTATAAATAATTACCAATCTATCCTTATCCAATGTAAAAATCGAAACAGATTTATCAAAGGAGCCCGAGGCGAGTCTCCTTCCATCGCAGCTCCAGCCTACAGAATGCACTTTTGCTTGATGTGCTGGATATTCACGTATTTTGTTATTTGTTACAAAATGTTTTTTGATTTCACTTATTTTTGCTGTACTCATTTTAATTAATTAATTAACTCAATTATAATTGCTAACCTAAAAACGCTACTTAACCTTAGCCGGTTTATTTATTTATTTTGAAGTTTACGAAAACTGTCATGGCGGACTGTTTGTGGCATATCACGATAGGTGGCAATACTTGTTGATGGAAATCGCGGGAAATCGTTATTATTTAAAATTATTTTATTTATTTATTTATTATTATAGTTATGTAAAATATCATCTTGTAGTTTATTTAAAATAAAATTGTGGTTGATGAATTATCTTAATAAATGTATTAAGACTACTAACTAATTAATTAAAGGCGTTAATTAATTAATTTGTGTCACTTTAACCCTTTCCACTCGCGAATTTCGTAATTAATATGTATTTTGCCGCCGGAGCAAAATTACTGATAACTTAAGACAATATGAGAATATTGGATGGAACAATCCCAATATATTTTTGCAATTGTCAAGGAAACCATCAGATAGGCCAGTCATTTAAGCTTAAATTAGGTAAGAATCTCGAAATTCGAGATACCAAGCTGTAGGTCTGTAAACCCTTCTTTTATCTATGTCTGTAAATACTTGTATATTGACACCCTAAATTTGTCTCAAAACCTACATATGGTAGAGTGTCAAAACCATATGTAGGTTTTGAGACAACTTTAGACTGTCAATATACAAGTATTTACAGACTTTCAGCTGGGTATCTCAAATTCCGAGGTGAACTTACTATAATGACTAGACTAAGAAGAAACCATGAGAAAACACCATAGAAATGAGAGAAAATAAATACACAAAAGAAGAGAAAAGAAGATAATATGCATAAAATAAATAAAATCGGATTTTCTGGCAAAAATATGAAAATGAATTTCTTGAAGAAAAGCGAAGGAAATAAAAAACTGGTGGTGCATGGCATCGTGCTTCAGGACAAATTGCTGAAAATTTCCGTACTGAAAATTAAAACTTTTATAAAAGATTTGAAAATTTTCAAAATTTTTGAAAAAAATCGATTTTTAAAATTTTTTAAAAACTGACTATTGAAAAATTTTAGATTTTTTTTATATTTCTACTTTTCCAGAAAATTTTGAACTGTTTTTGAAAGCAATCGCGCTGCGTAGCTGCTTTAAAGACAAATTATCGAAGCCGCATCGCAGTCCAACGGATAAACATAGATACGGAACCCCAAGCAATTTAAACAAAATTTGTACCTGTTATTAAAAAATCTGATAATTTGTTGAGCATATGTCTAATAGTCAATTTTGACTGCCAAATGGCATTTTTTTACTTTTTTTTATTGGATCTCCGAAACCGCTGGACCTGCCTTTTCAAAAATTTAATCACCTCTTAATTCCGTTAATATAAATAAAATGATTTTTGACTCATTCAGATCGGACGCTCTGTTCTCTCAAAAACTGAACTACCATTTTAGTACTTATCTTCAAAACGGCAGAACCTACTTTTGCCAAAAACTAATCAGCACATCTCCTTATCAATACAAATTGAATGTTTTTTTTTAATTATTCAAATAGGTGGATCACAAAATCGTCGACAAAAAATTGTGTCCGCACACACACACATATATTTATCAATTTTCTCTAAGGTATGCCAAAATGTTCAGGAACCATTGAAACGTAAAGATATATAAAAATTTGCATTTTCGATTTTTTTGCGATTTTTATAGCTTACCCTACGAAAAGTTAATAAAAACTAGTTAAAAGTAAAATAATACACTTCTTTTTTAAAAAATGTTTTTAAATAGATTATAGAAAAATGTATTATTATTTATAAAGTTTTTGTTCTTTAAATTTAATTATATTCAAAAATAAATAACCCGACAAATTATTTGGTATAAATTGTATTTATTATTTCATATATACTTTATACTATATATATATTTTACACAATAATAATTAATAATTAGGCCGGTATACATGTGTATAATTATATATATATATATATATATATATATATATATATATACATATACTTACAATATAAACAAATTCCAAGTAACTTAATATAAGTATTTAATGTACCTTATTTACAAAATACAACAATTGACAATTTAGACATTTGGATACTGAGTGCATAACTATTGAAAAAAAATGGATATACATAACCTCAAAATGTACACATAACATCAAAAATATCTGTATAACGTTTTAATAACTAAAAAATACGCAGGCAAACAATATTATGAATCTTTAAGATGCAAAACCTAATAAATATTACCTATCAGTCTTTAAATGATTAAAAATGGTATCATAACCTCAAAAACCGTCATTAAAAGTTAGACGAGCACAAAAAAATAGTAAATTACCATTGTTTTTTTTTAAAGAGAAAACTCATTAAATTTGTGTACAAGCCCAAGAAATGTATTTTTGGAATGAATGTAAATTTTAAACAATTTATTATCTAACAAAAGATCTTGAAAAATGTTAATAGTCATATCTCAAAATGTATCTAACAAAATTGAATATTCATTCTGTGGTACATAAAATAGTTTAATATTATTTATACTCATAATCAGTAAAGCACAAAAGTTAAAACTACGTAACGCAGAAAATACTTCGTTACGTAGCTAACGGTTGCGTTAATGAAACGTTGATGTTACATATATTAATAAATGCAAATAGCATTCGAAGCAGCCATGTTGTTTTTGATGGTTGGGTACCAACTATGTTAAACGTGTTTCATAGATTTAACATATAAAATACTTATATTTCAAATACATATTACACGCAGCGCAAAATAAACTAGCAGTAACTTTGTTACGTATAAGTATTAATGATCATATTTCGTACACGTATATTAGTTACGTAGTTGCTACGCTACCGTTGTTTCATAGATTTAACAGACAAAATGCAGTTTGTGTTTTATGTAAACTGTCAAAATAAAAATAGATAAATAGTTTCTTCATTGTTTTTAAATAAAAGGGTTTCTATTTTTGCAGAAAACGATTTACATTAACGATTACGTTAATGCTTCGTACACATAGTCTTAGTTACGTAGCGGCTACGTTACGGTTATTTCATCGATATAACATACAAAATGCAGTTTGTGTTTGATGAAAGCTGTCAAAATAAAAATTGTTTGATTGTTTCTTCATTGCTTTTAAAAAGAATGGTTTCTACTTTTGCAGAAAAATTTAATAAATTTTTAATGTAGCATCGAAAATACATACTCGCTTTACATTAGAGTTTCTTCCAGGTTACGTAGATGTTACGTATACTAGTACTACCCATGTGCTTTACTAGACTATTTATCATACATCCATATCCATTTGTCTAAACGTGTCACAAAAATCAAACAAATTCTATATAATTCTGCGTCCGTTTTTATAAAATATTTTAAACTAATTTTTAAACATTTTTATATATTTTACATTTTATATATTAATAATTTTAGCTTAACCGATAAATGCAATTATTAAAAAAAACACACTCGTATATTTACAAACAAAAATATACACAAAATCGATTTCTATTATAATAATAGATTTTTATTTATAAATATCGATAAAATAATTATATAGTGTACTAATGTATAGTGCTACTCTCTAACAAGTGTCATGGTAATTATATTATACTTTTTTTTAGAAATTTTGAAATAAAAAAATATTTTTTGAATGATTTTTTAAAGCATTCTTTTTTATGTTTTGTATCTTGTCAAAAATTTGGCATTTTATATTGGCAGTGGCGGTGGTAAAATACTTTTGTTGGTTTTTTGGATTTTGATATATAGTTTTTTATAACATATATATTGTTAAATGTATATACACACTAATCTAATTTTAAATTTCTAAAAAATCCAACTAAAATTTTTTAATCGTCTACAATACTTATTAAATAATTGTCATCAGTTTTATATAAAAGTTTTATATAATCACATACACACATTTAGGCTTCTTAAACATATCAATTTTACTAAATCTACTCAACCTTTCATAACTTCACTTTTTTACAAAAATTAAGTTGCATAACCTCACATTATAAATACTAACTTAATAACATAACCTCACTTTTTATAAACGTCTCATTTAACTTGTATAATATTTAGTAAGTAGTTTAATATTCCTATGGAACTCGTTAAAGAATAACTTGTCTTGTTTACGATCACAAAATTACTTATTTTTATAAACTAACCTCACTTTTTTTAAAACCTGTTACAGAACATAACCACACTTTTTACATACCACGTTTTACGTAACATAGATATTATTCGAGTCATTTAATAAATTTTGTTATTATTCTTTTATAACCAACTAGGCCCCAAACATTGTTCCATTATCTCTACAGCATCCTCTCTTTCCATCGACTTCAAAATCAAAACTAAATCCACCAAAGCCGAGCTATGTTTACTAACGCACTCCCACAAATCCAAAATGTGTTCAGTCGGTGAAGCCTTTGTTGCAAAATAATTTATATACCTATCCACCGACAACTTCTGCGCCAGCATCCTCCAGTCGTTCCCTTTAAGATTCGGCGGATCGAGACAATGGCATAAACTTTTCTTGATGCTCCTGGAGAGTCTTGGGAATTGGTGGTCGGTTGACAAAGTGTTGTTGCCACATTGGTTGACTGTAAGAGTTTGTGGTTGAATGTAGTTTTCATTGGTTTCTTCGATCACGGTTAGAAGTCTGTCGCCATAACGGGTTTCCAATAAATTTTCCGTGATTGACATTTGTTTTTCTTCGAAATTATTTCGGGTTATGGACTCGACGACATCAAAGGTGACGTATGTGTGCTCCGAATGGTTTTGGTAAGCGGTGATGTTGAATTTTAAGGTATTTGTGGCGTCTATTGTTTGTTCTAAGGAAAAACTACAATGCAAACTGTTGGAACAAGAGTTCCAAATGTGTTTAAAAGGTATTTCCTGGTGTTCCGAACCAGGTTTGGCGCTCCATCCGGTGGTGGGCGCACATCTTAAATTCAAAGATAAATTATTACCATTATCTTGGAATAAAAGTGTTTTCGAATGATGCAACAAGACACCACCCAACTTAGTCTCAGCCTCCAGGCAATTACTAAACATCGAAGGCAAATCTTCAATAACATACAACCTGATA